TGACATCTCGAACGCCGCGTCTGACGATATCCACCGTGTTTTCCACTGCAAGGTTAAGAGCAGGCATGATGACTTGTGCGTGAATTAGTCTATAGTGAGAGTAGACTTGTACCGCATTCGCTCCTCCAGCCCCCCCCCCTTGAGCCCAGTGTCAAGACATAGTCAAGATGACCGAAGATGGGGAAGGCGCAGGCGACTGGCACTGCCGGACCCGTACCTAGGCGTACCCCCCACCCAAGTAGGGCCACGGCGCTTCCTGCACCGTGATAGTCGACCTTTAGACCATCGTTTCCGACTATGTCCACTGTGTGTTCCACAACGAGCTGAAAGCAGCCACGGTAACTTGCGCGCGAATTAGTTTATAGTGATTGTAGACTTGCGCAGCATCTACCGCACTCTCTCCGCCGCCCCCCCTCCCCTTGGGCACACGCAGTCCGGTCTTTAGCTCCATCAGCCACCGCTCCCAATCCTCGCGTCAAACATCTGACCTGCTCAAACCGAGATCGATTCTTGGAAGTTCATCCTTAAGTCACTCAGTGAATACTCCTCACTGTAAACAATATGAAACGCTCTTAAATTATCACTGTGTGCCAGAAGCCATGACTTGGACGTCTGCCAACTGACCCGCTAACTCGGTTCTCCCCTCAGGCGGCAGTGGTCCCTTCTGCTGGACGGAAAGGAAGCATAGAACTCAAGACATTAACGCCGCTTCACAGTGACCACATATAGCATAGATCAGGTGTGAAAATAGTTGCGAGAGGTTAAACTATCACCGGCAGCTGGAGCGGATAGTTCCGAGGAATACGAGTGCACTTAACTCTTAACACGTCGAAATGCACAATACTGGAAGATATGGGCATCGAAGAAGATGAACTGTGAGGACGAAAATGGTTAGTACCCATAGCACCGCGTCTTCCCGCGGAGATTCGAAGGTCATCTCGGAAAGAGAAAACGGGCGTCTACTAACATTACTTTTTTGGTAACAAGTGATCAACGCGGGGAAATATTCTGTGGTGGAACCAAATCCTGCCCTGTGAAACCTCGCAACATGGGCCAGTTTCTAAACGTTTACAGTGTACAAGCTTTCTGAGGAGAAAAAATGATTTGGTTACCTTCTCCCGGATGACTACCCCCGCTACTTTAGGACATTAAGTAACAATCGCTTATTTCAATTTCAGTGGTTATGCACGTGTAAACGTTTAAGAAGTCAGGCTCGGCAAACGTATGCTTTAGATAATTCTTCATCAGCCTTCCACAGTAACATAAGGGAAAGTTTGATCAGATGTGGTTACGTAGCCTCACCTGAAGTAAGCAAACCCCAAGCCACGTGCAATACGGGAACGAAGGTAATAGGGGTTCTTGCAGATGGGGCCGGGGAACGCACAGGCGACGAGGTCAAGTAGTTGTGTGCAAAAGAATGGCCACAAGATGTGCTTATGTAGCCCAACCTGGAGTAAACAAACTCCAGCTACCTGTACTACGGGACCGGTGGTAATGGGGGTTTTTACAGATGGGGCCGGGGAACGCACAGGCGATGAGGTCAAGTAGTTGTGTTCAAAAGAAAAGCAGCAAGATGTGGTTGTGTAGCCCCACCTGATGGACACAATACTGTTGGGGTTGGGGTTAGTACAACTATTTCTCAATTACTCAAAGTACAACCGCGCATTCCCAATAGCTTTTCTTTTTCATACAACTACTTGACCTCATCGCCTCTGCTTTCTCCGACCCCACCTGAAAAAACACCTATTAACATCGATCCCGTAGTACAGGTAGCCGGGGTTCGGTGGTCCCATCTGAAGTAAACAAACCCCAGCTACCTGTATTACGGGATCGATGTTAATAGGTGGTTTTACAGGTGGGATTGGGGAACGCACAGGCGACGAGGTCAAGTAGTTGTATGGAAATGAAAAGCTATTCCGAATGCGCGGTTTTGCTTTGAGTGGTTGAGAAAGAGTTGCGCTAACCCCTAACCCCAACCCCAACAGTGTCCCTCAGGTGGGGTTACATGTCCACATCTTGTGGCCTTTCTTTCGTACACAACTACTTGACCTCGTCGCCTGTGCGTTCCCCGGCCCAACCTGTAAGAACCCCTATTACTATCGGTCGCGTATTGCAGGTGGCTGGGGTTTGTTTACTTCAGGTGCGGTGACATAACTACATCTGACCAAACTTCCCCTTATTTTGCTGTGGAAGGCTGATGACGAATAATCTAAAGCACACGTTTTCCGAGCTTGACTTCTGACATCTGACTCAGTATTATGTTCATCAGTTGGGATCACATAACCACATTTTACGGAAAGTTTAAACAACCAAAAAACAGTAATTGTGTGTGTGTGTGTGTGTGTGTGTGTGTGTGTGAGAGAGAGAGAGAGAGAGGACTGAGGGCTTTCAGAGGTCAGGGATTATAATCTAGTTTTGTCAGGAGCTTAGGGAGGGGGAGAGGGAGGGAGGTAGCGTCTGGCAACTAGCCGTATCGTAACGTGGCAGGAGGTGAGAACACGCATGCTGGGTTCATCTCTAGCAACTGAAACCTAAGGTCTGCATAAAAGCTTGATGCAGGCACAGGTTGGGGTTGGCTAACCGTACGGCCACTGCCGCTTGATTTAGACAGACAGGATGGTACCCTCGCACCCGCTTGGATAGACGCCTAGTTGTTCGTCCAATGAAACCTGGCCCACAAGAGCACGTGAAGGTGCAGATGCACACTGAAGAGGTCAGAAAGTGAACTCTCCCTCCGTCCTATTCGGTGCAACCGTCTTGGTGAATATGGATGGCTGTCTCATTAAAGTAGGGAAAGCGCAGTCCCGCTAATTTTATCCAGTCCAAACATAGTTCACCCGGCCTTATCGACGATGGCCGCCTCCACTGCAAAGGTCATTTTTCGAGCAACGCATGCTTACGCCTTAGCTGGCTCGTTCACACATCTGATTGAATAAACAAAGGTGGTGTCTAAACGTGCGAATGAAGACCGGATAGGTGAGGCGAGCATGGCAACTGTTGGGCGGGTCTTAATCCGTCACACGATGGATGCACAGGGGTCCGATCAGACCAAGGCAAGACTGGAAGGTGTGAAATAACTGAAGTGATGTAGCGACAAGTTTTTTTCCGAGATGTTATTGTTTCGAGTGCTGGCTCATGGGTTGCGAGTGGTTTTATTTCGCTGGATGATCGTTGTATGTTTTCGCAGAAGCCAGTCCGGACCTCGGTTAGGTTCCTTCCTCAGAACCGCACGCGAAGGTCGCTCCGCACTACTTTCTTGCATGCGACTGACTTCGGATATTGCCGTTGCATGTTTGACGACAGATTGTCGGGGCCTTTCAATTCGATCCAGGGTTTCCTCGATAGCAGAGCGTCTCGGCGATTTATCCTAGATGCTCTTGTAATGTCGTTTCTGACACGCCATCCACTCCCCGCTCCCCATTCAAACTGAAGAAGGGACTGTTTCCTCTACGCTGAATCTCTCTCAGGACAGAAAATTCGCCAAACATGACAGTCGATTAGGCGACCAGAGCATCTTGCCACCTTGTCATTAACATTTATAAGTAGGAGCAAAGGTTAAGGTGGCTAAGACTCTTTGATCTATTCTGATGGATCGCTTAGTCCAACGCACCGCTGAGGAGAATAGCCCGCTAACATCAAACGACACATAGCACAGCGTTCGTTGTCGCCAGTAGCAAGCTGTCGGGCGGACGGAATGGGACCGAGTTAGATCCTAACCACAACAGTGATGGTAACACGCCTACTTGAAATGATTATATGCCTCACTTCATACAGCCCACGAAATACTGATGATCGACGACGACAGCAAAATGGCTGCTTGCGTCTGGCCTGTCGCACTTTTAGTGAGCTGCTATGGAGAATGCAAGTCTGCTGGATGCTTGTCTGAGTCCGCAGATTCAGGCTTTGCAAGTTAATCGTCCATCCGGAATCAAGGTGGTCCAGGCGTAACTGGCGTATCTTTCGAGAGGCGATGCTCGTCAACTAGGAGATTCTCAAATCAAAAGGACAGGGTAGACGAAGTAATTCGACAACCTTTGCTGAGGCAAAGAGAAGGTTCACACGACTCAGCAGACAGAGCCAACAATTCGTCTCACCACGCAAATAACTGCCGTGGCGGTTGTTAGCCCCGACAAAAAACGGGTGCGGGAGCACACGCCTGGGCTTTGTCTAGTGGCCGCCCGCTCTCACGGCCGCGAACACCGCTGCCGCCGCCGCATGCGCACGCCTCACACGCGTGGCTCAACCTCCGGCCTGGGAAGCCGTGACGCCGATCGATATTTCTCTCTCCACCGATTGGCTGCAGGCAGACGAAGTTCTGCCTGGTAAGAACGCTGGCTACTAAAACTTGCTGAGTTGCGTGTATAGCACACCGCCTCAGTAAATCTTGTCTTCTCGGTCTTCTGATTAGTGTACCTTCATGTGATCGGCCGTCCTACCTCGACAGTCCGCCCGCAGCTAATCGACAAAGGACGCGGATTCGATTGGCTTCAAGCTCTCCCCACATTGGTGCTAAGTCGAACGCAGCCCGAACAATCAATTAACTGTGGATGTTGGGCGGTCTGGGTGAGCGGCCGAGTTGACGATCATGGGAGTTGACTGCCACATATCTCACTAAACGGTGGTGTGCAGAGGTAAAGGAAAGCCGTCTACCCTGATTCAGGAGACTTTCATAAATGCGTGCATTCGACGAGCGTTCAATGGTGCCCAAAACTTCGATAGTAACTGCCTGACCCTGGTCGCTGCTCACTGTAGGCATCCGTCAGAATTGCAATGAACATGAATTAGGGGGGGAGGGGTGGGGTAGGCGCATAACCCTTCTACAATCCATTTGTCTTGGCGAAAGTCTCCAAGGTTGACCCATCGTGCCGTCGCGAAGCTGGCCAACCATCAGCGTGATCTTTTTAAGACGTCAAAACTTCGTCATGATCTTACGGAGTTCGTTTCTATTCACGGCGTTGAAGGCCTTGATGAGACCCACGAAAGGGATGCAGAAACCATTTTTATTTCCCACCACCACCACCACCACCACCACCACCACCACCACCACCACCACCACCACCACCACCACCATCATCATCATCATCATCATCATCATCGTGGTCGTCGGTTCTTCAGTTAGATTTTGGGAACCCACGTTGATTCAGTCAAACGACTGAGGAAAATGAGAAGAATGATTTTGCCGGCACTGCTGAGAGAGAAGTTCCGGCGGTGATTGCGGGGCTTGTCGGTTTCCTTCTGGCTTGCGAAGTGTTGAAGTTAGCGGCCTGCTTTTGGGGTTAGTCACATCTTCTCACGCTTTGAGCAGCGACGTTGGCCTACCTACATTCTGCCGGCCAATCAGTGACCGATGTCATGAAATGTTAACTGGAATTCTGAAATGTGTTCCCTAATAGGTAGGACTACTTAAGATGGCCTATCGGGCAGCACAATCCAAAGATACTTCAATCACACCGGAATGCCGGCTTGTAAATGCACTTCATTTCGTCCGTTCGCAAAAATCTCATCCGGTAAACTGGTCAGATCTTATTCCGTACCTGCAGTAGTCAAACCCCGGCCTAACCCCTAACCCTATCCGCTATCCCCTAATCCCAATTTATAACCCCTAAGCTCAACACCTAACCCTAACCCCAACCCCAACCCCAACCCCTATCCTTAACCCCTAACACCTAACCCTAAACCCTAACCCGATCCCATAACACCTAACCCGAGTCCCTAACAGGTACGGCTACGAAATAAGATCTTGCCAAACGGCTACTTAATAGCATGAGCTGTTCCACTGATTGTTTCAGTTTCAGTTTATTAATGGAAATATAGGCGAGCGCCTTTGAACTCCCTATTGGTTACAAGTCGTCGAAGAACAACATTGATAAGTGGGTAGATGAAAAAGAGATTTTGTACATAATCGCAGACAGCTGACAGTTTGTCGAAAAAGAGTAATCATTAACGGTTACGTACTAATTACAAGTAGTAAAAACACGTTTTAAGGTGGCGTCGAGTTATGTGAGTGGATGTGAGGCTGGTAATTGGGAGCTTGATACGTGCCAAGTCTACACTTAAAGGAATTCACACAGGAGGAGATTGCAACATCGGTAGGCAGGGCATTCCACGCTGCAAACACTCTGTTACTGAAGAAGATTTTTTCGTCCATTGATCCTTGCTTTCCTTGCGTGTAGTTTTAGGGGATGACCGCGCAAAGTGGGCGTGTTAGCTTAAGTGAAATAATCAGGAGGATCTAAACAACAGTTCTAGGCCGTTGACAATGCGAAATGTTAGTATAAGGTCACCACGTAATCGCCTGTAGGAAAGGGGAAACAGGTTTAGAGTTGACAGTCTGGTTTAGTGCCGTTATAAATTCCAACATATTCTATAGCAGATATGCAAAGAAATATGCATTCCTTTGTTGACTTAGTAGCAAATCACATCTTCGAATTTTACGCTCGAAGAAGGGGTATATTTCGGTTTTAACAAGGCTCTTACTTATGGGACTTTTCAAGACCGTAAAACCCCGTCTAAATAATGTAGCACCTGCCTGTTTATTAATGTTGCTTATGAAGTATGCAACATACTTCACATCCATGGCAAAATTTCATGAGTCGTATGTGACGTATTTTTAATCGCACAGAAGTACGCCCGATTTTCCTCAAATGGGGAATATACACCTTCTACACTGGGATCCTCAAATACTCTTACGACGGCAGATCTGACTGAAAATTATTCGTGGATTGAAACATTTTCTAAAGACTTGAGTAACCTTTCCTCCAAGTATAAAATTTAAAGGAGACGTGACTTGTAACCAAATTAGAAAAATAAAGCATACTTCTGTACATATTGTTTATAAAATATATATATTTAGTTATAAGGGTTTCGAGAATCAATGGAAAAATCATACTACTGAAGTAGCCACTTTTTTACCGCGGGCGAATTTTTCAGGCGGCCGGAACTGAATCGACGTCCCGCAATCTTTCTGTGGCGTTTCCCTAGCAATCTCCAGCAGGGACGGCGGATAAGCAAGATACAGTGCGTGAGCGATCTCATGAAATGTTGGTCGAAATCCTGAATTACGTTTTCGATTAGGAAGGATTACTTAGGTGGGGTTTTAAGATCGATCAGCGTACGGCATAATTCTATAGTATTTCGGACTCGCTGGGATGTCGGCTTTTGAATGCACTTCTTTTAGACCTCCTGCAGAAACCACACTTAATGAAAAATGGCTGCTTAAATAGCATGCATTTCTCATGTTGATTTTCGATGTTCTTATAAATTCAAGCACATTTTATAGAATTCATGCAGAAAAATATGCTTACTTTTACTCGTTTGGCCGAAAACCACGTTGTCTTTATGTTTTATTCCCGAAGAAAGTGTATATTTAGGTTTTAAAAAAGTTTCCTGATTCTCGAATAATATTTAGCTTGATCTGTAATTGCATTAGCGTTTTGCGATTTCGGATTACAAGGTGCCTGCTTTCCGCATAGGGAGAATCATATATTTCTCAAAGATACCACTGGATGCGGACTATGCTGTATATTCCATGAGGAGCACTAGTAAACCGGCATGTGCGACGCTGTGTGAATGGACATCGCATGGTCTTAAAAACACCATAATTAGAAACTTTTTAAAACCAAAAGATAATCTTTCTTAGGGCATAGCAGATGAAGACAATGCGATTCTCTATCAAATGAGTAAAAAGGCATATTTTTCTGCATGGATTGCATAAAATGTATTTGAATTTGTAAGAACATCGAAAATCAACATGAGAAATGCATGCTATTTAAGCAGCCATTATTCATTAAGTGTGGTTTCTACAGGTCTAAAAGAAGTGCAGTCAAAAGCCGACATCCCAGCGAGTCCGAAATACTATAGAATTATGCCGTACGCTGATCGATCTTAAAACCCCACCTAAGTAATCCTTCCTAATCGAAAACGTAATTCAGGATTTCGGCCAACATTTCATGAGGTCGCTCACGCACTGTATATGTTGACTTCACATTGATGGAGTCCGTCGAGGCCTTCTCCGCAGATTGAAGGTACACCCGAAATGCTTGCTCCAGCGTTCTACGAGTACGGTGGTTACCGCTGAACTACGCGACTGCACAGTTTCATGAAGCCGCTGAAGGCAGTTGAATGTCAGGTAGGTGTGGAGTAGGCCAACTTTCACGAGCGTTGCGGCTCCTGTAGTGACCCGTCATTCATATACTACTCATTACACTCTCTGGATACTCGTTGTATCGAAGGATCCTAAAAGAGGCAAAGGCTGCCAATGACGAACTTATCGTGGCATACCTATCGGGACAGCGTTTATTGCTTAAGTTGTCTAGCCATTGAGATGATAAAGAAGAACGAGAGGCGGGACAAGCATTCTAACTCGAGGTATCGGTTGCTTGCTTCTGCGAAGCCACTTTGTTTGTTCACGAGGCCGTACGTTAAGTTTCTGGGTGGCCCTGTCGCGACAGCTTGAGCCAAACGCAGACCCTAGGCACTACGACCTTCATGCCCGGCTCTGAACAGAAAGAAGAGAAGCTGAAGCTATAAGTGAAGAAGAGTCGAGCACCGGAACACTTCGTTTATTGTCCTGAGCTTTCAGACTCGTACAGGAGTCCATCGTCAGAGGTTGTAGCAGTAACAAAACAAGCGACAATTGTAAGGCATGTAGGTCAATCATCAACCGAAGGCGCACGACTGAAGGTGACTACGCAGGGCTCTGTACGCCGGCACCAGATCGATAAATCGATTGACCGAGTTCTTATCCGAAGCCCAGACTTCAATCAATTCTCGGCCTGTTTTGTTTCCGGCGTGGGTGACTATTTTGGTGGCTGCGAAGTTAACCTCGTGACCCATTTCGTAGGTGTGGGCGGCCACTTGTGATAATGCGTCACCTCGTCGCACAGCCAGCTTATGTTCGTGTATGCGCGATCTGAGCATGCGCCCAGTCTGCCCTGCGAAGTTACAGGGATAATTTTGCTTAACCGGTCTTTGCTTTTCATGACTCTATTGCGCATGGTGGCTTTGGGGCGGTGTGCAGTTCCAAGACCTAGCTCCGCAGCAATGCGCTCGGTCGCTTCTGAAACGCCCTTGATGTATATCAGGGGATGCCATATCGTCGGTGGTGTTTATGTTCGAGTCCTCTGGTGGCGACCGCGTAGGCAGCGACATACGAATGCCCATCGGATAGCCATTTTGCACAAACTGGTCGCGGAGATAACGGGCCTCACGTGCTCTGTCCTCCGGTTTGCTGCAGTGAATTTGGATCCGTTTGAAGAGCGTCTTCACACAGCTTCGTTTGTGGGCCACCGGATGGTTGCTGTGAGAACTGTTTTCTATACGGCGTCAGGCGAAGTCAGGCGTCCCGACTGACAGTGGGGCCTTGTGTTAGGTAATGTTCGATTCGGGCTTGAGGTTGATTGGGCGGTTAGGATAGCTGTGATTGGTCGAGAATTTGACTGTTACATGCGTGCAGGTTTTTGAGGGAAGTATAGACTTACACCTTTGAGCATCATGTTGGTAACAGAAATATCGAAAGAAACATTGATACATAAAATGTTGAAAATGAGACTATTTTCATTAATGAATATGACAAGTAGCTGGGTGAAGCATGTAAAAATACAAATTTAAATCGTGCTTGTAGTCACGACTAGTACGACAGTATGTTAATTTGAAAGTGAACCAACGGCAGGTGAATGTTGCGGAAGAGTCAAACGCTACAAGCAGGTCAAGTTTGGCATTGAATTAATCCGCACATGAGGAATTAATAACCCCGGTGGGTAGGACGTTCCATACTGCAACCAATCGGTGACTGTTGAAATATTTGCGGACACACGTCCGTAGTTTTCCTGGGCGTAGTTTGAAGGGGTGACCGCGCCAAAAGCGCATGTTTGTATGAGGTTAAGGTTAAAACGGCTAGTTTTCGTAGGATGGCGACCCCAAACCTTTGATCCTTTTTGTCGCTCACCTCTGGATTAACTCGAAGACGGCGCAGTCCTTGACGGTTCAAGGTCGCTATTGCCTGTATAGCATACTGCGGCAGTCCGCACCTCCTTGCTCTCCGCCGCTTTGTCACTCTGCCCTCCTGTCCACCTCACACTCCCTGTCGATCCGCTGCTGGTGCGCGCGAGGCATGTCATTAGTCAGTCAACGCTGTCCCTTATCTAACTGGCCGGCGGACACTGAGACAGAGCGAAAGGCACATAGATACGCGGACACAACAACGAGCCTGGAGAGACAGCTTGTGGCGACTGATTTCGGAGGCACTTATACGCCCTTACACGCCAGTAAAGGTTGTCGAGCCCAACCCGTCTTCCCTAACTGCTCATTTGGAAAGCCCTACGTTGTCAACCATATCATTCTGGCAATACTCCAGATGCGGCCGCACGAATGTTCCAAGTATTTTTAAGAAGCCGTTTTCGTCAAACACCGCCTGATGCGTTGTAATGAAGACATGACTGAATTGACCATCTTCGTACAGTCTAGTGCTGGTTTGGACGAAGATGTAATTCAGACGCCCAAGTCCTTTTGACCATCAACTAGTTGCAGTGGTGCATCAATCAGAAAGTAAGTCCTCGGGCTGGAGACTCAACAGCTACCGAGTTTAAGAAGGTTGCACTTGCTTACATTAAAGCGTATAAGCCAGCGCTTCGACCAGTCCTTGAGAAAGTTCAAGTTTGTTAGCAGGCAGTCTTCGTCTGAAGTATTGTGAGCAACTTTCCACAGTTTGATATCGTCAGCGAAGAGAGTGACGTGTGCGCTTGGTATTTCGTGCGATCTACACCGACGCGCGTACCCACCTCGATATCGGTAGGAAACACAGTATTGGAAAGGTCAACGACGAGCTTGGTAAACTGCTAGACATTTATGATGCACGTGGGTTCTTCAAAGTTAAAATTTATTGTTTTCGTGGACCTAGCAACCTGAAGATGGTCAGTGGATAAATGAGGAGTACCTCAGCATCGGCCTCACTCTCTTCCCTTTATCACACACCAGTGACCTCTACGTGGATGAGGCTGGGTCCGGTGACCAGCGAGCGCAGCCCCTTTAGCCGATTAATCGATGAGATTTCTGTCTCGGCCCAACGCAACTGTGAGTCAGCCCATTTGGGGAACCTGCCCCTCGACTGAAATCCCGAACAATTCGTGCGTTGCTCTGCTACCATCGACAGGAGGTTTCAACGATATCCATCGTGTGCTTCACATCAGGATGACAGCAGGGACGGTGACTTGCGCGTGAGTTAGTTTGCAAAATCACTGCTCTGTTTAACTTAGTTTAGCGGCCATGTTGGGGTTTTTCGTCAAAATCGCATTGGATACTCCTCAATAAGGCGACGGTCCTGTCCGTACCCCTGCAAAACATGCATGCTTGGTTATACAACAATGGCAGGATCGGCTCGCCGAAATCTACTATGCGCGACACAAGTGGGCCTATTTTGGGCAGGTTAGCGATAGACCCAACGTTTTTATGTTACAAAGCATGCTACTCCCTATATTTCAGTAACATTACGTTTTACAATGTTTACTATCTCCTGACCGCCACATATGCGCTTTCTTCGATATTATTTGGTCCATTCAGTACCGTACTGGATATTGTAAAATGTTGACATAGAAGGCATTCACAGACAAATTCATACCAGTGACCAATGCTTGATGTATGTAATTACTTACCTAATTTTTTTTTCACACTTGCCTTACACATTGTTTTTTATGACGTTATTGCAACCAAAAGGGAGTTCAAAGGCGCTCGCCTATCTTTCCCTTAATAAATCTGATCTGATCTGATCTGACCTGCAGTTCCCCTAAATTGATTAATCTGCAAGTAGGTAGCCCCCCGAAGAGTAACTGTTACCGACTCCACTCACATTGTACGTGTTCAAAGGTCACTAAACGTCCATTTTACATAAGCGGGTCTGTCGGTGGGCCCATCTGGAAGAACTGCAGAACATCATGAGATCTAATGTCGAAATCCGAAAGACTTGTTGAGCGAGGGAATGTCGCAACAGATCGAACATCAGGAGCGATGACGTCCACTGTGTGCTCCACGGAACAGTGAGCGCAGGATAAGTAGTAGTGACAATGGTAGATGGACGCTCAGCGAACGGTTGCGGGACTCATTCGTCCTGTTGTGCATCTGAAGCTTGATATAGAGTCCCGCAAGCAGTCGTATAGTGACTAGTATTGCATATAGTAATAATAATTTTTTTATTAAAGACTCGTCGAGGTCCCATCAAAGCAAGTAAAAATAAATTTACATAGGAATTTTAGACGAAGTAGACAGAATCTGTACAAAATGCAATTCATAGTTTCCGAATTTGTAGTCCGTTAAGAAAAATGACGAGCGAGCGGTGAAAAAAAAAACGCAATTTTAAAATTTAAAAATGATTGGATTAACTTTACAGGAGAAAAAACCCTCGCTAATAATAAAACAGAATGGCGGACAGGACTGGCCTGCATGTGGCGGTATATAACGGATTATAATCGGACATCGTCAGGGCAGAAATGAATGTCAGCCTTGATTATAATCGGACATTGTCTGGGTAGAAATAAATGTCAGCCTTCAGGGGCACGTATGCGGGTCAGACAGGACTGGCCTGCATGTGCTATTGTATACGGGATTCAGAATTCACATTCTCAAGGCCGAATTGATACGCCGAACGAGACAATTCGCGTCAAAGAGGCCAGACGAGAGGAACCCAGACGCTATCGGCCACAGTACGCTTCGAGCCCAGCCGAGGAGTGGGGAAGGGAGGTACGACCAAACTACTAGTAGACGGCGAATACTGAGGCTTCCACCAGGAACGTAGACAGAAGGCTTGAGGTCAAAATGTGGAAGATGACATCAAGGACCGCGAAAATCGTCGCTATGGGGAAGGAGTGATAGCAGTGGATTTAGAAACCAAGTCAAAATACTGTTTTTAGTGATATGATTGAGGGTTTCCACTTGATCTACCACTAAATCCCGGTCACCAACCGTCCACTTTTACATAAGCGGGTCTGTCGGTGGTCCCATCCGGAAGAAGTGCAGCACATCACGAGATCTAGTGTCGAACTCAGGAAGGCTTGCTGAGCGAGGGAAACTGTTTTCGAATGTCGCAACAGACCGACCATCAAGAGCAATGACGTCCACTGTGTGCTCCACGAAACAGTGAACGCAGGATAAATTGTAATGACAATGGTAGACAGACGCTCAGCGAAAGTTTTGGGGACTCACTCGTCCTGTTATTCATCTGGAGCTCGATCTAGAGTCCCGCAAGCAGTCGTGTAGCGACTAGTATAACACATAGGATGAGACTGCCCACAAAGATAAGCGAGATAGCAGCGGCCGTTTCTGATTGGGGAACGCGCCGAAAAGCCCACTGTTGCGACTGCGGAGAAGAAAGATGTATTCATAAGATTGCCTTTTGCTGGAGACGCGGAGAGCGAACTAGTCAGACGGCGCTTAACTACAGCTATCACGAGGGCATTCCCAGCGGCGAATTTACGCGTATGCTTCACAAAATCTCCCCTCCTACGTTTGGGGGGTAGAGACAGACTACCGTTGGAGGCCACATCAGTGTGCATTTATTCATTCACTTGCTCCTGTGGAGCGGGATACATCGGCTGTACAACGAGACGCCTGGTAAAGCGAGTGCGTGAACATATGCCCGCCTGGCTAGATAGAGGTGAGATCCGGTCCGTTTCGAGTTCTATTCTCGCACATCTTGTCGATACGAATCACCGAGTCGATGCCAAGGAAGCATTTCAGGTTGTCTACCGGATACCAACATGTTTCTCTAAAGGCCTACGCCAACGGATACTAGCAACGGCCGAGGCAGTAGCTATACGACTAGCGAATCCGGTGTTATGTTGTCAGAAAACCCTGACACAAGCGCTCTCTCTGCCGTGACCAACGCCAACCCCAAGTGATGAGGACATGCCGCCTCAAATCCCTAATTACAGTGATGGGTAGTCCGTGTACTCAATCCGAGAACATCACTCAAAGACTCACTTACCCCCCTCCCCTAGGTCTGCGGACCAACACCCGCCGACCTTGTCATGCGGGCGGCGTGGGGAAGATGAGTGTTAATGACTTAATAGCCCCTGGAGACACCTATAAACACTGTTGATTTTGTACATTTTCATTCCTTCATGTAATTGTATTGGCCTGACGAAGAATTACAGAAAACGCGTGTTCGCCAACTTGACATTTCTGATTTATTGGCCATCATTAGCCAGCCATATTGAATTCAGGGTTTTCGGGACTCACGAGGCTCGAACCCGCATTCCGTTGGCTAGGTTTTGCGAAAAACCGTGATTGGATATGGCTGGGTTATGACGGCTACTCAGCCAAAAATGGCCATTCCAGCCTCCCTTCTCTTTGTCAGCAATCAGTTTATGGTTGCTTTTTAGTTTCCTTAGAAATTAACTGTTAACTTGGAGTAGATCAGTTTATACTAGAGTCTATAGGTGCAGACTGAAAGTGAATGCATGAATGCTGGGGGACCCACTGAAAAGCCGGACCCTTCGCAGCTATGCCATGCAGCGGCAGAATACCGGTGAAACACGCGTGTCTGGGATTGTAGCTAGTACGTGCGCCTCTAGTAGGGCGTCTCCTAAAGCTAAAGTCAGCTTATAATGTGGCAGGCTTGCTCAGCACCTACCACACTCGTTTCTGCCCCGGAGGACCAGAGGCGGGTTGGGGCGTCATTAGTACCTCCGGAACCTCAACTTCTTCGACTGAAAGTAACTGCATCTGATAGCTTTAGGCGTAACGCCCACGCTGGATCCATTGTCTTTTGTATGTGTGCAGTCTGTCCTCCTTTTCCCGCA